AAAAAAAAAAAAAAGAGAAACAAAAACAGAAAAAAAGAAATGAAAAAAAAAAGTTTCTTAAGGGATTATTGATTAGAAATTGTGAACAAAAAAGCTTTATACATTTTCTATAATCAATTAGAAGTTTAGAACAATCTCAGCAGTCTCCGAGTGAGAAGCTTGAAAAAACCACTCATCGACTTTTTTTAACTTTGGCGCTTAATCCGTGCTTCTGTAACTATCCGACTCCGTAGTCATTGTGATGCTCCCGCTTTTCGACGCTTATTTGCTTTGGAATTCTGGTTCTGTTTCGAAGCTAGTCCCCCTTTCCTGTTTGCACATGAAAATACACTTCTTTTTAGTTGCAAATGAACAACGAAAAGATGAGGGGACCAACTAAATTGCAATTTCGTTCCCTATCGATAGGCGGTGGTGATGAGGTGAAAAGATCATATGAGAAAAACAAAGCACATGGCTAACCTGACTCGAATCCGTGCTCTCCTGAAAGCTCACACCATCCTCCGCCATGTACATGTAATACGACCTTGCAGGCGGCTTCACCTGGCGCCCCACATCTCTCAACCTCTCCAGCTCCGGCAGCACCACCCTGTCGAGATCCGGCCGATCCCTTCTCCTCAGCTCACAGCACCTGAGTGCCAGCCTGGCGAGCGACAGGGCTTCCTCGAGCGGCCAGTTCTCTACAGCCGGGTCCAGCACTTCCCCAAACCTCCCCTCCTCAATGGCGGTCCCAACCAGGTGAGTCAGCCCCATTGGTGGTCGTGCCGTGACCAGCTGCAGCAGTAGCACACCTAGCGAGTACACGTCAGACTTGGTCCCCAGCATGCCCGTCTGCTGGTACTCGGGGTCGATGTAGCAGAAAGTGCCGGCGGCTGCTGTGTGACGGTACTGCGTGGCAGAGGTGGAGGGGTCGGGAGGGGGGACGAGTCGGGCCAGCCCAACATCGCTGATCTTGGCAATGTGGTTGCGGTCGAGGAGGATGTTAGCGGGCTTCAGGTCACGGTGGACGAGGGGCTCGGGTTTCGTCTGGTGAAGGAAGTTGAGGGCCGTCGCCACCTCGGCTGCGATGCGGAATCGTGAGGGCCACGGGAGGGGGGGTGAGCGGAGGAGGCGGTCTTCGAGGGATCCGTTGTCCATGTGCTCGTACACGAGGCAGCCGTACTCGGGGCAGGCGCCCAAGAGGATGACCATGTTTGGGTGGCGCATACGGCTCAATACCTCCACCTGTTGAATATAAAGCAGATGGTTTGACCAAAATTTGAGGGTCTGTTTCTAGAGACAGAGACAGTCCTATGGTTTTTTAGAATAGGAAATAGTTATTTACACCCCGTTCTGAAAAATTTCACCCCAGAAAGTGCGAAAGCATTATGCGGTAATTATGCGACAATTGTGCGATTGACATTGTCTGAAGATTAAAAAATGCGAAGGCATTCGCATATTCGACAGGCATAACTGATATGTGACAGTTATGCAAACCATTCGAATAACATTCGCATTGTCCGGGGTGAAAAAGTTATACTGTTAGCTAGTGGGGGGAAAAACTTTAAAGTAATTTTTAATGTTCAGGGGGTGTAAAAGAAAGTTGCCCATTTCAGAACCAAGAGGTACCCTCTTTGAGGTTTAAACTTCTGTTGCCAAATATCTCCCTATCGAGATTTGCATTAAAAAAAAAAAA